ATTGAAAAGTATGTTTGAATGCCGGAGGGGGAGAGAGTACTAGAGCATATTCTATTGAAACAACAAAAAAATCCTCAATTAATCGCATTATGCTGGAGAGAGTGCAAATCCCAAAGTGTCCAATGCAGCAGAATAACCAGCACAGCTGTCATAAAGTATGCTGACAAGTGTCATTGGGGAATAGACAGTTTGCAAAAAGTATCTCTGTACAGGAGCTATAGTGTTATGTTATAGTCAGCAACTTTCTCCCCCCAAAAAATCATCATATTGTCAAAACCAACAATCAGCAAGGAAATAAAAAAATAATAAAATATGAAAGCAAGACAAAAATGATATGATAAAATACTGTCAGACTTGTGTTTTGAAGTAATGTTTTTTAAAGTAATATCATTTACATATAGTTTATAGGAAAATAAACAGCAAAAGGCCATTCTAATCACTCTCTGTGTGACACATCACATAAAGGCCTTATTTAAATCGATTTGTTTCTTGTATATTATGTTATGCATTATTTATTACTAAAATAATACATAATAAATAAAACCATTCTTATGCAATACTTACATAATATCTTATTCTGAAATGTAAATTACACACCAAAAACCTAATTAGCCATTTGTTATATTCACCTTCGTGCTGTCACACAGAGTTTAAATCTATACACTGTGTATATGTACAAGGAGACTTTGGCTTATGTGGTGTATGGGGTTTATTGATGTTGCCTCAGTCGATGGAGAGCGTTTCAAAATGGGTCTCTGTAATCCTCATATACAATTCAAAAAGAGCATATTTAAACCTGCACAACCCCCCCACAGCAGCTGCCTCCACAGTCGAGGGAGAGAGATAGAGAAGAGCTGGAGGTAGAAAGTAGATGATGGAGGAAAGACAGTATAACAATTAATATAAGGAGACATTTTCCAATCAGTTTATGCCCCTGTGTGAAATTAAATTTCTGTTTATGTGCACGCTTTCATTGCCTGTCACTGACAGCCCTGAAAGCACCTGTGAGGGGAACGAGTTTTGAAGGAGTGAGGGGGTGCACACAAATCTTCTTACGCTTGAAATGTAAACACACCTGCCACCTTGCATATAACAGCAGTGCAACATTGGAAACCATATCTCTGTTTCACCAGATACACTTCACCTCAGTTTTTAGAACAGAAGTCTGCTTTTTATATAATTGCATGCAACACCCAGCAACAAATTATTTTCTTAATCAGTATTTTTGTCTTATTTTCAGTGAAAATATCTGAACATCCTTAAAACAAAATCTATTTAGTTGCGTAAGATATTATGATTTGTTTCCAGAGATTTTTTTGACCCCTTTGACAAATTCAGTTGATTAATTGAACGGATTAAGAAAAGAAATTAGATTTAGAAAAACTTAACCTTAATTCAGTCAAGTTTTTATGATGCATCGAGTTGTTTTGTTTTAATAAAATATTTGCTGGAAAACAAGACAAAAATACTGAAATAAAGAGTTTTTTCTGCAGACAGAGCAGTCTGTAAACAGCATTATTAGCACTCTGCTCTTACTGATTATGTTCAAGACCAGTGTGGTGTTTGCGAGGAGACTTTCTCTTTCCTAACTCTGATAATAAGGCCCTAACACAGGCAGTCGCATGAAACAGAGCAGGAAGACTCCTTAGAGAAAGCCTCATCTGGGTCTCATCTGAGCAGAGAAGATACAAGTCGGGCCCCTAACCCTAACCCTAGACTTTCACTCTCATAGTGAACTCACAAGACTAACCTGAGCAGAGAACAGTTGTCGAAAGTAAATACTAAATGTGTAAACACTAATATTTGAACAAAAATATTAGAGTAATTAGCCAAAAAAGTTATATAGATGTTGACAGATTCTTTTAGGTGCAGAGCTGTTGTGTTCTTCTAACAATCTGTGCTGTTTTTTATGACATCCAAAGGGACATCCAATTGCCACAGACAGTCCCAGCAGAGTACTATGAGTCTCAATGTTGCATCTCCAACAAATACAATAATCACTGACAATCTCTCTGCTAAGACTTCCCAGATAGAATAAATCCACACTCATTTAAGCACACAGAAAATCATTAAAGTTTCATTTACCTATACTTTTACTGGTTCATCTGAAATGTCCCTTTATCTAACTGTAAATACCAATGAGCAACATATTAATAAACATATAATTTAAAGTCATTTGGTACACAGAATCTTTAGGACAACCAGTCAATCTAAGACTAATATAGGCTAAACCAAGAGCCAAAATACAGGCCCTGACGGCTTCGAAGTTGAAAACAGATAAGAAAATCTCAGCTGAAGTTCTGCTAAAGCCGTCAGGGCCTGTTAGAGAGCCAGTATTTTATGTAACGGCAGTCTAAGGATTAAGTCAATGAGTCATGAGGCAAGTCAAGTGCCTTCACTTAATATAGCCGCTAATATAGTTGCTCTTAACCCTGAACTGCTCCTTCAAAGAGACGTCAGCCATCAGAATGTCAAACGGAGGAATATCTGGCAACACTGGTCCGTATGACAACATGAGCAGCACCGCATTCATTTAGAGACATTGCTATGAAGCCCAACTATTGATTTTGATCAAATATGACACTTTTGTCTTCAAATGTTACTTTTTTTATTAAAAGGATTCGTTTTTAGCCTAAGTGCCTGAACAATTCATTCCACTATGTGAACATGCTTAAACATTTAAACTTAAGCTACAGAGTGACTTACAATACAGCACTCAAAAAGAAAAGTCCATTGCCGCTAGTCAGTGGGAGTTTTTTTTTTTTTTTTTTTTACACAAGTCACATCATTAGTATCTTTTTCTGCAAACAGTGGATCCAGAGGAACACTGCTGCTGTATTTTACTGTGCTGTAATCATCACAACCCATGAAAGACTTCTCTGCACCTACAAAACATGCCTTAATGTTTTTTCCTTCAACAGTGTTCATCATGAATGCAAAGAATTGTTTCCCAAGGTGCTTATTTTAAACTTTATAGTCAAAAAACATGACTTTTGAGAATTGCATTAACACAAACACTATGCTTTAACATAATGTCTTATTTGATGAGTATTTATTCCTTATTGTAACATTGCTTAGTCTTTAAGTGATAGTTCACGCAAAATAAGAAAACTGTCATCATTTACTCACCCTCATGTCATTCCAAACCTGCATGACTTTCTTTCTATATGGAACAAAAACGAAGATATTTTGAAGAATGTTGGTAGCTGCCCATTGACTTCTCAAAATATATTCTTACAAAACAAAGTCAGTTAGCAACAACATGAGGGTGAGAAGATGACAGATTTTTTTTTTTTAAACAACACTCCATACTAAATTTGAAATAATGTTAATCATTATATGTTGCTGCATTTACAATACTAGTACACATTGCATTAGTGAGCAAAACACAGAAGGTAAGCCTGAAAAAATATTCTTAATAGGAAGATTCTTTACTTTATTGCTATAGTTTGTCTGGAAGTAGATATTATATTTCTATATTTTTATATATTCTACATCAGTTTTATACTTTTCAATGTCAAGTCAAGTATAGATTTTTACCATGATGAAACACAGATGGAAAGAAAATGAAATCTTTTTTGGAAATGACAAATTAAGAGAATACGCCTTTACTAGTGGCGGTAGATGTAGAGAAGGTGACCTTGGACTCAACTAGACACTCTGTAGGCAGTTACAGCTCCTGCTGGACCTACCAGGAGGAAAACTATCTCTGCATATGGTTTCATTAATCATTAAGTCATTATGTTTAACTGTTAGATAGAAATCACTCTTAAGTAACACTAACAACCCGAGTGGAGTTTGGCAAAAAGATCCTGACAAAAAAGATTCTCTAGTCTGATTAAATAAATGTTAAACTCTTCAGTCTGAATGCCAAGCAGTGTGACTAAAATGGCTCAACTGCTGGCTAATACCATACCTATGGTGAAACATGGTGATAGCAGCATCATGCGGTGGGGATGTTTCACTTAGAAAATAAGCCTCAAGATTACAGATCACAGTCCATTTTGGCAACTCCGGCATTTTTGGCAAAATTTAAACAGAAAAAGCAGCAAGCAAGTGTAGCGTTTCATTCTTAAAAGGCTGTACCTTTGAAATAGCATGCTTCTAATTAAGAGCTGAAATTTGTTTCTTAATCATATTCAAATATTAAAAAGGTTAAAAGAACACTGCAGTCCATTCATTCGGGTTTAGTAAAGCTGGAACAGACCCGCGTTTTGAGCATATATACATTTTGGTAGTATATTAGGAAAGGATAGATACATCTTTTCTTTTAAGGGTTAAAAAAAGGATATAACATCCATGGAATATGATGAATTTGGATGGTTTGTTAAGCTTATATTACTATTATCTCGATGCATAATCTCAGTGCATTGCACAAATGCAGAGTCAATTTACAAATGACATCAATAATACAAAACTGCACTAAAACAGCAAGCACAAACAATTTATCTCCTTCATCCATGGAATTCCAACTAATGTAGTGAAGGGGGAGGGGGTTCTCTAGCTGATTAATGTAAGCTGCTGTAAAGCTGTTTATCTGGTGCCAGAATCATGCCAATTTGTCATTGTAAACCTACTAGTGAAAGTGAGGCAGTTGGAGGACGCCGAGTCGGTAACAGCTGGTTGAGGTGATGCAGTGAGGGGTAAAGCATCCGCAGGAGCTCCCTACTATAAGCTACGGTCGCCATGGCAACACTGGGGGAAATTAGGTGTTAAAGGAGTATCTTGTTATGCAAAAAAGAACAATGCACCAGTAATTTGGTTTTGTTTTGAAAGTTGGACAGTAGATATCCACAATAATCCGAGTGTGAAAACATTGCATGCTTGAGTGTTTTTATAGTGTCATGACATATCAGTCACTATGTTATACTACAAAAACACTGTAGCTTAGCTTGTGTGTGTGTGTGTGTCTATAATGTGTGACAGTGTGTGATTTAAATATTCAATTTAATATTTAATGTTTTTTTTTACTTTTAAATGTACTATGAATACATGCTGTCCGACCAGTTAGATTGAATATCAGTTAACTGTAAAATACCAAAGCATAAGTTTTAGCTGCCTGCTTTAATAACACCTTCTCAGTATCTGAAAAGATCCCACTCCTGTATGTGGGACAGCAGCTTCAGTGCCCTGGGTGGAATTTAGAGACAAAATGATGATTTCAAAGGAAGCTTATTCAGCTGTAACAATCCGATGAGGAATTCAGTCTCAGGTGGTGGTGGAAGTTTGCAGTCGGTCTCTGAGCAGAGGGGATTTTCTAACCTCTAGTTATTTCCTTTAAGCTTCACTGCATCTAACAAAAAATCATTTGAAGTTGCGAAATGTGTTTATTGTGTATATACTGTATACATCAAATAGATAAATAATGTTAAGAATGGGTTTAATGACATTATAACTGCTGTGTGATATAGGATTTTTTTTATTTACTCACCTACTAACATTATATTTTGACAACGTCTTCTACATAGATGCTGAAGGACAATAAAAAACACTTTGGATAAATAATACACAGAATATATAACATGAGCTTTTGTAATATTAAGTTAAATGTGAAAACATATTATTATTAATAATACATAACAAAATAGGCATTTCATTTGTATAAGGAAAAACAAACGCACACTTCTTCCTTCGTTTTGTAGGATGTACTGCTCTCCAGTCGACTGGTGTGGGTGAAAATTATGACTATCTGCAGAACAGCAGCTCTATCATTAACCTGTCAAAGCCATTGTGGTTGGAGTTCTGTGAAGCATCGCCATTCAAATGCAGAAAATATCACGCTGTTATTACACTGTGCTCCCGACTTCTGGAGGTCACTCGTGATATGATATCAGATGTGAGGATTTTCTAGGCCCTGCAGGGAAGTTCATCAGATTTCAGCTGGTGGATGGGTCTATCACGAAACTCTTCTGGGCTGGTGCACCGAAGTCTTTGCAGAGGAGAGTGATTAGCCCTCGTCTGGGCTACGTAATGTACCAGCGAGTTGATGCTGCAGTCACATTTCCATGGGTTGTCGTGCAGAAACACCTGCTTTAAACCTGAATCAATCAGAGATGTGATTAACACGTTACTCTTAACAGATAAGAATAAAGAATTATTTGTATTTGTTTTCGACCACAAAATATTGTTACATTCTCTTTTCTGCTAATTAGATTATCTAGATTTTTTCCATTTATTTTTAGATTTGATATTTAGAGTTACATTTTTAAGACAAAATGATATAAATGTTCAATTACACTGCACTCCATCTAGCTCAAAATTACTGAAAATGTTTACTACAGAAGGCCAAAAATCAAGCTTGATTTTTCCATTTATTTTTAGCTTTGATATATTTAGAGTTGCATTTTTAAGATAAAATGATAAAAATGTTCAACTACAGCTCAAAATTACTATGGAAGGATAAAAATCGAAATTGTTTGAGGGTCATGGGCCAAAAGTAAATGTTGCTTTATATCTAGCTATATTATAATTATTTTTAAATCAATGATATTCTTTACATTTCAATTTAAAAAATGTTAAAATAAAAATGGTAACTAAAAAAGAAGATATTCTGTGTTGTGTATTTGAAGTATGTGTTTTTCTTCTTTTTCCTATTTGTTTTTTGTGATACAACAGTGTGGGCCAAATCAAAGGTCATCACTGGCCAACTTTGGCCCACGGCCTCTAGTTTGAGCATCTCTGGTCTAGATGAACGCATAAGCTATGTTAATAGCCCCTAAGAAATGAGTCTGATCGGGGTCGGAGGAACCTAAAACTAGCCTAATAATTTTTGGTTGTCTTAGAACTGATAGCCAACTAGTCATTCAGGCAACCCACATACTAGTCCTACTTCTTACCCTGCATGTTGGCTAGCATGTTTCCGTCAATGGCATGAAGCCGATTCCCACTTAAGCCCACGTGAGTAAGTTTAGGTGTGTGGCGGAACACGTCAGCTGGCAGACTCTCAACTTCATTCTTTCTCACATAGAGTTCCTGCAGGTTGGAAAGACCTTCTAGCGTGGCCGCAGTAACTGTGGAGAGAAAATTGTTGTCTAGCACCAGCATCTCAAGACCAATCAGGGACGCAAAGGTCCCATCTTGGATATTCTTAAGCTTGTTGTTGTCCAAATTGAGAAAAAGCAGCTCGTCAAGTCCGACAAAGGCTTTGGGTGAGATGCTTTGGATGTGGTTCAAGGCTAGATCCAGGACTTTGAGGGCAATCAGAGGCTTGAATGTATTTGGTGGGAGAGCAGTGAGGGTGTTCAGGGGCAGATCCAGCTCTGAGAGGTTCCTCATGCCAATGAACATGTTAGGTTTCAGGCTAGCTATCTGATTCTGGCCCAGCATGAGAAAGCGTAGGTTTAGGAGATCTTTGAAGCCCTTCACTGGGAGTTTGGACATTCGGTTTCCTTGCAGATTCAGAAGCATCAGTCGCTGGGCACCAGAAAATGCTCGAGGGTGTATTGATTTGATTGAGTTTCGCTCTAAGTTTACGCTCTCGATTTTAGGGACGGAGCTCAGGATGTTGGCTGGGAGATCCTGCAATACATTTTCACCTTGAAAATGAAGAAACAAAAGGAAGCGAAAGAGGTGGGTTTAATAAGTTGTGCTGAAGTAAACATCATTATGCTCATACTAAAGGTAAACAGAGTACAAAAGTCGAGTTCCAGGAGTAAAAATCCCATTCATTTTCTCCACAGGGGAATTGCTTTTTAATGAATAACTTATAGGAGAAACTTAAGGGGAAAATACAGCTGAAAAAGTAGACAGGCACCATTGCGCTCTATATAAAGACAATACCTCAAATTCTGCAGCTGATTTACATAGATTTTAAATGATGAACCAGAGCTTTAGCTAGAGACCAGAATATAATAGAGAGTTGAGGGTATGTTGAGGCACTTTTGAGGCAAGCACCTAGCAACCACCCAAAATACCCTAGCAAGTCCTTAGCAACCACACAGAGCACTCTAGTAATGCTCTAATATCCATTTCAAATACCTTAGCAATGGCCTTGGAACCATTCATAACACCCTAGTATTATTGTGATGGCTGTCATCTACATTTTCTTCAGAAGATGTAAAAATATACTTATTCAATTAAAAGAATACCATTCGTTTAACTTGTCCATTCTTCACTGTAATACCACACAAATTACTACACAAGTTTTAATCCAAGTGAGAGGTTTGGGTCTGAGCTCTAGGTCAGGAATAATAACTAATGGACTAACAGTGTAACCATAGTAACCATCAAATTACCATAATTATTGTCATTATTACTACTGTAAAACATAGGAATACTGAATTTCCTTTAAGTGTACATTGCTTCAGTGTACTTTCAAAATTGTCATTGTTATATGTATGTA